ATAGAGGAATGCTTGAATTAACTTTCTGGTCTCAAGGAACCCCTGCTAAAAATGACTATATCTACAACTCATGATACATTAGTGTGATGGCCAGTGGGAAGAATGCTCCTTACACTTGTGGTCCTTGGGAGGAATACCCCCTTACAGATAGCTAGAGTGATCAATGGGAACTTATCTGAAAGGCAGGAATTGCTCATTGTTCAAGGAACCCCTAGCAACATCTGGAGGAACTGTAGGGTTCACTGCAACCCTGGCCGAGAAACCCTGATCTAAACATTTCATTCTCTAGCCAAAAATAAAACATAAAAAACTGATTGAAGTTGCATTTTGATTTGGGATGTCAAACACTGACATATGAACTTTGTCTTCATATTCAGTCAGGAATCTCTAACTCCATGGCGTTAATTTACTAAAGGAGTAGAGCGTTCACTTTACTAAATGAATGACAAAGCTTAGCAAATATGATAAAGCTGTGATCATTCTCAATAACCAATCATATGCAAAGGAAATTCAACTGGTGGTCAAGCTACAGACATCCATTTAATTATATAGTGATAACAAGCTGTAAATAATTCTTAAAACATATGTCATGGCAAAATAAAAACCTGTTTAGTACAGCTCTGCAATACATGCACATTCTCCACTGTTTTATCCCTTTAAGGAACATGCAAGCACAGCATATACATGTTGATCTGCCAGAAATGAGCTCATCTCCCATTTTTCTTGTCAAATGACACCACGTGCCTTTTTTTGTGGACTGAAATTGCAGTACTTGGTGTCAGCCCTACCCAGTTGTCTGTTGTTAAACTACTGAATCCAACTGATTTCCCTCATTTGCACAGCATAATGACTAATTGTTCTGCAGTGAAAAATAAGAACTGGGAGGAATCCTTGAAGTAACACTGGAGGTGCGCACAAGACAAGTCTGAATTTCTGACATGATCAACAGGTTTATTTTGCACTCATCAAACGGATGTAACAAAATGCTTTTATGAGTATAATTAAACCCCAAACAAAATGTTAATATACTGCAGCTTACCCATCATTAGTTGTGGGCTGCATTAGTTTTCTTTTTTCAGGCTTTTCCCTACATTTTATCTGGTAATCCTGTGAATAACCAGTTTCCTGTTCCTGGCAGTATACACTAACCTTTCCACTGTATCTGTGGAGGCAACCATTACTGCCACCCAGGTAGGCCTACAATGTCTGCCTTTGTTCATCTGCATTACATTTGGGATATGAAGATTAGGAGTTTACAGAAGGAACACAAGATTGTTTTGCTTGCAGTGGATCTTAGATGAAGTCACAAAGACACTGTAATTCTGGCAAGCTCAACAGGTTTTTCCTACACTTGCTGAAAATGTTCTTACCTGAAAATTGAAAACTAACACCACCACCACTTTTGTGGACTGGTAAGCTACAAAATATAAAATGTTTTTCTTGGCTTTAGTTCTCTAACCAACCCTCACTGATCTCTGTAACTTCAGAGACTGTGGAGTAATTCAACCACAAAATTCATAACACTCAAGACACTCTAATCAGGCTCTAGTCTAATTTTCTTGGCAGCTCACTCTGCTCCCTATGACAAAAATGACTTTGTAGTCTCTCAGTCTTCTAATGTAAATGCAAAGTACCTGCTCTGTGTTTATAGTAGAAGGCTGGAAGGTTTCCAGTTAAAGATAAGAAATTAACTAGAACCCAACTATAGTGCCACTTTTGTAAACTTTTAGGATGAATTGCTCAGATATGCTTTTGCCTCTGGGAGTGCCAGATTCCAAAACTGTAACTATTCAACAGATTCCAAAATTGTAACTACTACTTGCATGGCCAAATGAGCTCTGTGGACAGTAATGTCTGATACTCAACCCTTCCTCTGTAGACAGAGGCTGGATTTTACTTATTAGGCTTTTAAATGTTCACTTCTGTGTGTTTGTTGAGTCATAAAACTCCTGGCAACTGGTACCCACATGTTTGAGGATGGTCAGTTGTTTCCTTACACTTCTTCTTGTGGAGACACATGCCCATCTATGAGCATCATAGTGTTTTAAACACAAACCTTTTTATTACCAGGTCTGGTAAGTACCATACAGTATGATGTCTATGGTTAGTCTAACTGTCAAGGCCTAAAAAAAAGAAAGTGTGCTACATTGTTCACAAGCACTTTGTAGTCAACTGAGAGAAAAAGTAAAAAATCGGTTCAAGTCTTCTGAATCTCTTTATTCATGAAGACACAAATACTTGCTCTTACAAAACAACTCTTATGACCATATTCTTGTTAGAAAACAGCATATTTCTCTTACTTTTCTACACATAATACATATGATGATAATGTATCTTCTCTTCTAACCAATCGACCCACACCTTGTGCTTAATACTGTAAGAACAGTGTTTGTGTGATTAATCTTCTAATGCCCGCTCATTATACTGTTTAGTTCAGATTTATGGTTAGTAATAAAATATGGGTACCTGAGGGCATGTTTTGCTGATATGCACACTGCAATCAATGCTTCTCTTGTGCTCCTCTGTCCAATGTCTTGCTCTTTCCCCGATTCTCTGGCTCCTCCTCACCACAGGTCATCAAAGCTAGGATTTTCTAGGCACTACATGTGAAGAGCCCCAGGAAAAACAGGACACTTATGACCTTGGATGATAAGACAATGGACTTTACAGAGACTAAAGCTTTATTTGTATGCTGGATATTATGGCAAGGAGATAAGAAAGCATGTGGTGCATGTGATGGCCGTGAATATGTAACAGAGCAGAATATTACACAGGCTTTGATTGAGTTGTTGAACTGCACTGCATAAATTGACAGCACTATAAGTACCTGTAATAAAATAAATAATAAATCATCTAGGAGGATAAATTTAGTACAAACTTTACTTTCAGCTCTAGATGATATGTACAGACCAAGCAGCGAGATCAACAAAGAAGAGTGACTTATAGGGTAATAGGCATCACACTAACATAGCCTTTTGTCAGAGATTGTTGTGGTTTAACGAAGCGGCCGTTGCTAAATGGGCCTGGTATGAAATTTGGGACTTGTTCATAATGGACATACGTAGTGGCAAGCATTCCAACACTGTTTAAAAAGAAACAGATTGCCAGGTGGGAACAGCTCTCCATACGTGGTGGACCTGTTCTAAGGCAGGCCATAGACGGCCGTTTATCAGCCGAATTGTCGGCCGATAAATGAAAAATTGGTCGGTGCTGTTGCCGATGCTGCCACCAATGTCCACGAAAAATGTCCGCTTTTCGTGGATTTTCCAGCATGACCGATAAAACTAATGAGAAGATCCGCAAACAATGGCCGACGGGCTGGCCCCACTAACAGCGTGAATATCGGCCGATTTTTAGTGTGGACGAAAATTTGGCCGATAAACGACCCGTCTATGGCCTGCATTAGGTGCATCGCTTCTGGATAAGGGTCCACACTCTTATACATTCAGTTACCATGGTCAACATCCCCAAGGATGTTTGGACAGCATTACTGAATGCCTCAATAGCTGATATCCCAAGACACTCACAGACTTTGAGCCATTTTATGTTTCTAATGGCTAAGATTGCCATAGCAACAGCCTGGAAAGTCCCAGAGATTGATCTGGCCTTGATGAAGAGTAAACTGACGTGGATCATGCTCAATAAAAAGATTTTGAGTGTTCTACATGATAAAAAAAACCATATTTGAAAAAGTGTGGAACTCCTAGCTTTCTTATCTACAGGTTCCAGACATTTAGGAGTGGCTCTGAGACTTGATGATGATGGATCCCAGGATGGATGTATCTTTACTCTCTTCTCTTTTTCCTCTTTCTCAACCTTTCTTTCATTTCTATTCCCTACTAACTCTTCTTTCTTTTAAAGTAAAATGGTTTACATTTTTGAGACTCTGGCCTCTTCTACTGTTCACAACGAGGATGATGTGGTCCCACAACCCTAAAAATATTATATATATATATATATATATATATATATATTATATCATATATATATTGAGTCGGATAGTTATTTCTGCATAGGCCTATTGCGGCTCCTCTTGGCTTATTTAGTGGAGATTAGAAATACAGCTATGGGTTAAATTGCTTTGTCACCTATGTTTAACCCTATGCTAATGCTCTGGGATCTTCCTGCCAATGTTATCAGCAATTGTAGCTGCTTCTTGTATCTTCTGTACTGAATATACTTTAATGCATATTCCCACACTATTATGTATTGCTTGCTTTTCAATGATAAACCAAATAAAATGATTGAAACAGAAAAAGAAACAAATTTGCCATGGGATTTTCCTTCAGAGTCAGGCATGTTCTACCACCCAATTCCACCATAAAGCTTTGAAGGAGGTGGGGTAGCAAGGTAAGTCAGAAAAAGCTATTTTGAGGGCTTGTTGTTGTTAAAGTGTCTCTAATGCCTGTCACATTTTTTTTTTTTTGCTACCTCTAACTCTGCTGAGGAGATACACTATCTATTTTTGTCCTGGTGACTATAGTCACCAGAACTGAATGTGAGGGAAACTCCAAAATTTTGTCATCAGAAAAGGAATATATCAATGAAGACACTTGTTCAGGTGACAACTTAAGATGGGATTTTCCACACTTGGCGTAAATGTCCTAAATGGGACACAGATGGCAAAAAACAACAAGGGCTTTAATTATTTCTTACATAAAAAAGTTATGCCTTTAGATACACTTTATTTAGGGAGAAGTAAGAAATGACTATACCTGTATTACTATGAAGAACCGCTAACTATAAACTGGTTTTTCATTAAATATACATTACCTAAAAGCTCATGTAAAAGACTTTTAAATAATATAACTGAGTAATGGTATTTATGTATATACTGTAGTAATTTATTTGATGGTTGTGAAATCTAATGTATTCATCTACAACATAAATTTGCAGACTATTTCATTCTGTATTAACAGGCTTGTTTGCTTGACCACTGAGTCCATTTCAGCTGTAATTTCAAGATCATTCTAAAACTCAAGGCCCACACCTACACATCTATGATGTCTCCTGCCACCTTTGTCATAGTATGGATGGCATGCCTAATTTTCAGTGTTTCCAGTCAGTTTATTCCCCAACACCGCAGTATCTGGAAGAAATCTCAGAGCTGTCACAGACATTAAATCAGGAAAAAGCAGGGCACATTATACAGCTGGGATCCAATCAAAGCCCCAATGGAAGTCAACAGTCTGAAGATGATATTGGAAATATGCCACCTCGAAGACCACCGCCCTGTCTCTCCCGATCTAAAATCAAGCATGCTTTTAAGTATGTCTCCACTATATTGTCCTGTGTCATTTTCCTAGTGGGGATTGTAGGAAATTCAACACTTCTAAGAATTATTTACAAGAATAAATGCATGAGGAATGGTCCCAATGTACTTATCGCCAGCCTGGCACTGGGAGATCTTTTCTACATACTAATTGCTATTCCCATCAATATTTATAAGGTTTGTATGAACTGACATTTATTGATTAAAACTGCTTCATAGACATATGCCTTATCTGAGTGTAATAATACCCAAAATACAGTATATAGTTTTTGGTAATAAAGCAAAAATGTAACATTCATGGGTGTCACTTCTAGGCATGCTAAATTGTGGAAAAAAAACAGTACCGCCCAATAAAGCCTGTTAGGAAATCTATCCTTTTTATGCATAGGAACATGTTTCAGTACATTTAATGTAATCATGTCTATTAATAAGTATTTCATGGACATGGAGACATACAGATTGGTCTATGGTCATGTGTACATTGTTGTCCATGTCTCTACAGTTTTTTAACCCTTCCCTTCTTTTATTCCAAATGAAAAATATAAAATTGAAAGGGATTTTAACCTTTCCCTACTTTATCCATAGTGAAAAAACAAGCATCAACTTTATATATACTATAGGGTACACCTTAATTAGACATAGATAACTTGTAGGGGCCTTTGGGAGTTAAAATGTAATTCTAACGTGTTAACAGGTCCTGTATTCATGTCCTGGTGTTCTGTGTGTCCTATGGATTAATAAATACACACTATATTCATCTATCCTCCGGTGTGTGGCTGACCCTTCTTCCTATTTTACAGCTTATATACATGACCTGGGGAGTACTCTATATTGCACAACACAACTGGAGTGAAATTAAAAATTAATTAAGAGCAATATGTTTAATTATATATAAATCACATTAAATACAACCATTTTTATTACATGTTTTTTCCTGGCGTTGATATTATAAACATTGCTCTGGTTTTGGGTAGTTGCTGGTGTTTTGAATGTCCTACTAGAGCCTTCTATCCAAACAAAACACAGCTGATGAGATGTCTGTGTTCACAGCTCCATCTGTTTTGTATGTACAGTACATAAAAATCAGGTCTTGGTTTTACTGCTGATTCATTTCACTTTATGGAGGAATAGAAGAAAGAGCTCCCCTACATTTTTATGTGTAATGGTAATAGTGAGCATTGCATTGGAAACTTCCAATGCTGCTAAATACCCAAGAGTTATGATGCTTGTGAATGAATCCAGTAAAATGGCTTCCTGTAAAAATTTAGCATTTACCATTATGTGTTTCTGAATTTGCAAACATTCTTGACAATCAGAATTTGAATTACAGAACCACTTGCCTATCTGAAACAATGTCTATATGATTGCAGCTTCTAGCTGAGAACTGGCCATTTGGCGCTCATGTGTGTAAGCTGGTTCCATTTATCCAGAAGGCCTCGGTGGGTGTCACAGTCCTGAGTTTATGTGCACTGAGCATTGACAGGTAACATTCCAAGCTTTTTTATTCCAGTATTCACACTGTAAGATGGAGATGTTGCACCTAAAAATGTGAATAGTGCTACAAAGATACTAGCTTTGCTGTTATTTACCATAACGATCTATTGCCTCCTATGCCATAAAGTATATAAACTCTAATAACGAACTTCACTTATTTGCTGCAATTTGGTCTGCTAAATAAACCATTGAAAGCATTATACTCTATCTGTCTGATACAGACAAAACCACTTGCTGTCCTGCAAGAAACCTAGTGAACTGATAACTTCCTGTGCTCTCTGCTTGTGCTGCATTCTTATCAGTTATAATTGTGAACTACAGAACACCTCCCTTCTATGTTATGGGGTTGAGGAACAGGTAATCATTCTATATTCTGTACACATCTCCTGTCTTATGCTTGGTACACACCATCAGTTTGTTTGTTTTTTTCATTCAGCCCAGCGGCTGAACGAAAAAAAAAAAAAAAAAAAGTCGGATGAGCTCACTGTACTAAATATCTGATGTACTATCCGATGAATTAAAAAATGGGATAGTTAGTACAGCAATATCCCTGCTGAGCTATTGTGTTCTGAAAGGGGGACTGCCCCCCCTCCGGCTACAACACACCAGTCAGCGTTGGTAACCAATGGCTGCCAGCACTGAGCGCATGCTGATTGGATACTGGCCAAACACAGAGGCTGGTTGTTTGGCCAGCTTATGTCCGACAGGGGGGTATATACACGGGCCAAATGTCGGATGGTTTCTATTGAACCTGCCGATACGGTCAATATCTGGCTCGTGTGTACAGGGCTTAGGGTTGACAACACTGCTCTTCCATTGATACAGTGAGTAAGCATTGCCACTCTAGAAAATAAAGTGTGTTACAGACAGGAGTACCATGTGAAAAAAAACCCAGAAAACAGAAAACTAATAAAACCACAGCATCTAAGGACTGGTAAGCTGCAATATAGTACATTTTTGTTCTTGAGTTTAAACACACTTTATGGTATATCTAAACCCAAGACAAAAAAGTAACACATTGCACTTTACCTGTCTTTAGATATGGCAGCTGCATTAATTGGAACAAGGTTTTTACTTTAATTAACACCGTTGTGGGCAGAGAAAATAATTTAACATATAATAATTGTTTATTGTTTAAAGATATCCCAGATACTGTATATCTCCCTTTTTAACAAATCTTATACATACCATTTGTGTAGCAACACATTGGGCAATAGCACTTCATTGGAAAATAAATATAGTTCCCTTTTCACAAATTATTACTAGGGTGGATGCAATTACGATTATGGAAAAAAAAAATTCAAACATTACACAATATGAATACATAATTTGACCTAAAATGGGATCCTTGGTTTTTTATAGACTTCCAAATGACAATTAGATTGTGAATCTCGATTCTGAAACCTTGCAATGTACTTAATTTGCACTTCGTATGATTGTTCCTTTTGTTTTGTACCCTATTTTGTATATTTATGTTTTGTACTGAGAAGTAACATGGATATATATTTGTATTACATTTAAAATGTATGGTATATTTATTCGATAGTACTACCCCTCTTTATGTACATATTTTTATATATTTATGTACTATAATTGTTACCTCTCGGGTTGTTACTGAAAGTTTATTTCAATTTAAACTTTGTGAACAAAAAAATAAATTTTTTCCATGATAAATAATTCTTCTACAAATACAAAAATTCCAGTTGATCCTGTCGGAAACCTTGGGGATGATTTACTAAAGACAAATAGACTGTGCACTTTGTCAGTGCAGTTGCACTTATTGTCCCCATAGATTAGTGAATGTGGTGAACCTTCACTTTGTAAAGACTACCCTATCAAGTGCAAGGAAAATAACAAAACAGCATTTTACTTACACATGATTGGATGATGAAAAATCAGGAGAGCTTCACCACATTCACTAAGCTCTGTGGAAAATGAGTGCAACTGTACTTGCAGAGGGTACAATCTATTTGCCTTTAAACCAGCCACCCTTTGTGTCCTTGTGATTTTCTGTGCACTAAAATTTAATCTCAGACAATGTTATCAGCTCTTTTAGCAATCTTCTGTGAACTACAGAACATCTACCCCTTATATAGTACAGATGAGAAGAGTGGGAGGTGTCTGAAGTCCAAATTAGGACAGCAATCTAGTCTGACAACACTGCTGCTCCACAAATACAGTACAGCGAGGGGACGTTCTCACCCCAGAACAGGAAATGTGTTACTTTCAGAATTACCAGGTGAAAAAGAACAAAAAGCATGAAAAAAGAAATCTAATGCAGCTACGACATCTGAAGACTAATAAACTGCATTATATTAAATTTTTTGTTCATGGAGTTAGATATTCTTAAACTTAATAGCTTCAATGATCAGTTGGTTCAGGAATGGACAAGGATCCTAAGGCAGTCCAACTAAGACTTCAATACAGCTATAAAAAATTGATGTTTTTCCTTTCTTCTTAATAGTCTGATATAGCTATATAGATTAAAACAGACTTTAATATAAAAAAAATTCAAGTTCAGTGTGAAATAAAGCAAATGAACATTAATCAATAGTATCTAATCTTTTGGCAGGTATCGAGCTGTGGCTTCTTGGAACCGAATACAGGGCATTGGAATTCCAGTGTGGAAGGCCATAGAACTCACTTTGATCTGGGCTGTGGCCATCATCTTGGCTGTCCCAGAAGCCATTGCCTTTGACTTGGTTGAACTAGAATTTAAGGGACAAATTATGCTGGTCTGCATGTTACCGCTAGAGCAAGCATCTCCTTTTATGACAGTAAGTATTGTGGATAATATTTCAAGCAGAGTTATAAAAGATCTTTGCCCTTATAGTACATCGAATCCAAATTTTCTCTTCCTTATTGTGTCACATCCTATTATGTCCTCTTGCCAGTTCTTATACCTTTGGCAACCCTGAGTAAGACATGGCTGCTTACAATTGAAAACAAGCCTGGTAACCAATTTGTAATCTGTGTACCCTCCATTTTTATACTTCCTTTCTCCTTTTTTCCCATATTTTCCATTTTTCCTCTTCACCTAACATGCAATGTACACACTATAACAAACCTATCTTTTTCCCTTTGCATACCAACCCTTACAAGAAACAAAAGGCAAGAAACCACCCCAATGCTATATACCCTAAAAAATACACTGATCAAAAAAAAATTTAAAGGAACACTTTGAAAACACATCAGATCTCAATGAGGAAAATTATCATGCTGGATATCTATACTGATATGGACTGGGTAATGTGTTAGGAATGTAAGGATGCCCCATCATTTAATGGAAATGAAAATGATCAACCTACAGAGGACTGAATTCAAGGACACCACAAAAATCAAAGTGAAAAAAACTAATGCAGCAGGCTAGTCCATTTTGCTGAAATTTAATTGCAGCAACTCAAAATGGTACTCAGTAGTTTGTATGGCCCCATGTGCTTGTATGCATGCATGACAACATCGGGACATGTTCCTAATAAGACGATGGATGGTGTCCTAGGGTATTTCCTTCCAGATCTGGACTAGGGCATCACTGAGTTCCTGGACAGTCTTAGGTTCAACCTGGTGGCGTCGGATGGACCAAAACATGATATCCCAGAGGTATTCTATTGGATTTAGGTCAGGCGAGCATGGGGGTCATTCAATGGTATCAATTCCTTACAATGTATGAACTGCCTTGGCTAATAGGCTTTACAATGATCGCTTTTTATACAGGATGGGGCTAATAACTTCAAGCCCAATGCACAACCTACAGGACCAGAGTATCCCTTTTTTAAGGGCCATTGCCAGAGACTTTCCAGGCATAGATATCCCTGTTCATAGTTTAGCTACTCACAGTATACAGTAGCTCTCAGGCTCTTTTAATCATGCAAGCCCCATCAGCATGGTAATACAAAATTTTTTAGACTAGTTTTGTAACACAGATGGCAGCACAAGGCTGCATGCACAGTTACAGGGAGCACCGATCTTTATAAGTCAGTGTGCCAAAAGACATCATCCTATATACATCATTAGCTGTGCAACTGGTGCTATTCTTTTTATTTTAATTTAATTTTTTAACAGTTTACAATCCACAAAACCAAACCAACTTAAACAGCCTACAGTCTGGCCATACAGTCCTCACATAAGACATTATTATCGTTATATACATAAATATAGTAAGGTCTAAGGTAGAAGTGGTATCATAACAGTGCTCCATTGCATCCCTGCTATTAAGTAACAAGAGAACATATTACAATCTGCATTACCCTTATGACTTAAATTGTTAAATTCCTACAGTGAGGTATAATTTACAAATAGTTTTCACATAACTAATTGAAACACAGTTTAGTAACCCACATTGTACCATACCCAAGAGTATGGAGCCAAAATCATGCCAACAACATTTCGAGCCTCTCTACCAATATCAGTGTCATATAATTCTAGTGTTTTAGTACCCACATGTCTTGGGACAGGGACCAAGAACAAAGAACAGCTAACACTGTAGAATGCTCAAGTATACAAAAGCTAAGGGGGGTAAACTTGGGAGTCTGAAGCCAAGGGTCCCAAATCCTATTGAATTTAAATGGAGTCCCCCTCTGTCTCATAATTTGTTTCTCTTTCAACAAGGTAGAATTAACATGCATCCACCACTCTTCAAATGTAACTGGTGCTATTATGACCACGTGCATTACCACATTTGCTACTTCATCATGGACAGCAAGTCAGAACAAAGAGCCAGTGTTAAATTCAGTGTGAAACTGGGCAAAACTGCCAGAGAGACATTTGATATGATTTGGCAAGTTTACAGCAATGCTGCAATTATTTATTCAAGGTGTTTTGAGTGGCATGCTTGCTTCAAGAGTGGAAGACGGCGAGAGATCAGGAAGAACTCAATGAGTTCAACAAGCTCAAACCCCGAAAATCTCCTCTCCCCAAAGATGACCCAGCTCAAAGGTTGTCATTTTGACAACATTGCGGAGATCCAGCGATCTGCCCAGTTTTACACAGAATTTCACGTTTGCTTTGTTCTAACTTGCTGTCCGTGGTGAAATCACAGACGTAGTAATGCATGTGGTCAGAATATCACCAGCCCACTGCTCCCGATGTACATAGGACAATGTCTTTTGGCACACTGACTTATGAAGGTAGGTGCTCCCTGTAACTGTACAGGTAGACTTGTGCTGCCATCTGTTGCTGTGTTACAACATTAGTCTTGAAACTCTTTGATACTACTTTGTGTATATATATATATATATATATATATATGTCTGTATCATGGTCTGATTTTGATGTGGTTTGCAAAGGTAACCTTGATTGTGTATTTGTTTATTAAATGATCAGTTTGCCTTACTGAGGCTTGTGAAAAGTTTATGTTAATTCTCATATGTGAGGCCTGGTACACAAACATAACTCTACAAAGAAACAGACATTTGGTAAATCTAGACATTTTACTTACCTGTTATACAAAGAAATAATTATTGACGTTGCTGCTTGTGTTCCAGTTTTATCAAGAAGTGAAAGTATGGTGGCTTTTTGGTTTTTACTTCTGCCTTCCTTTGGCCTGCACCGGAATCTTTTACACATTAATGTCCTGTGAGATGCTAAGCATGAAGAATGGCATGAGAATAGCACTCAATGATCACATGAAACAGGTAGGTGTTACCTTTAGACATTTCTGCTTATTAGTGTTTTTTTTCTCTCCCAGAGAGAGTTCTGTAGTCCAGGAGGGGAGAACTAGGCAGAGCTGACAATACTGCTTGGTATTGCAGTGCAGCAAAGACAGTGGTTTGTCAGTGCATACAGGAAAATAGGAGTGTATTTTTTTTTTTTTTGGCAGGTCAACAAGTATTTGATAAATCACGGGGAAATGTGCATGTATTGTAGAGATGTACCGATATGTTTTTTAATTGATCCAGACATACACTTTAAGTAGCTTAGTGAATAGTGAAAGCAATTATAGATGTGTTGCCTAGGCTGCCCACTCTATCCAGTATGAGAAAAATCAAATCCTAAATCTAATTGCTTGTGAATACATATCCATCAATTTAGAAACTCTTGATGCAGACCTTTTTTTTCATACGTTTACTATTTACTCCTTGAAATAAGTATTTTATACAGCCCTGCACTTGTCCAATTGGAATTTCCATGTTCAAGTATTCTGATGTTTTATTTCAGAGAAGGGAAGTGGCAAAGACAGTGTTTTGCTTGGTGGTGATCTTCGCACTCTGCTGGCTTCCTCTCCATGTGAGCAGTATACTTAAAAAAACTGTATATGATGGAACAGATCCACACAGATGTGAACTTCTCAGGTGAGATTCCAACTGAATTGAATTCTTCGTCTGTATGTAGAATTAGGGAAGGATACAGGGATAGCTGCTCAGTGACCAGATGACAAAGGGAATTCAATATCACATTAAGGAAATAAAGGCTTTAAAACCAAACTGTTTGGCTTTAAAAAGCTTTGTTTTTTAACATTTTTGATAGTGTGGATATGCATCTGAACTTCTTTTATGTTTTTATTCCTGTCTATGTCCTCATTAAGGAGATTTTCCTTCACTTTCTGTCCCCAGTGACACCAAAACAAAAAACTGATAAATCACACGGACAGTGAGAACAATAAAAACCAGATTGAATATTATTATACAGGATTTAAATTACACCAACAATTGCGCAGTGCTTTACAAAATAAAGACAGTACAGTTACAATACAAGTCACTGCAAAAGAGTTAGGAAGGCTCTGCATGTAAGAGCCTACAATCAAAACGGGAGGTTTTAAATGATACTAAAGGTATTAACTGTGAGGGATTAGCTGATGGAGAAAGTAAAAGGCTGTGTTTAGGTGGAAGCAGTTAGTGGGAAATAGCCAGACAGATTGGAGTAGGGAGCTCCAGAGGAAGGGTGAGGATCTGGAAAAATCCTTGAGAAAAGCAGTGAGAGGGTTTGGGTGATATTTTAGGACAGGACTAGTAGTATAGCTTGGGGCAGAGTTGTGACTGACTTGTATGTTTTCTTTAGTATTTTGAATTTTGTACGTTGGGTGAGTGGAAGCCAGTGGAGAGTTTGGCAATTAATGGGTATTAATAAAAAATAATAATAACTCAGTTTTGGAAAGATTGAGTTTGAAGAAGTGATGTGACATCCATCCTGATATGTTGATTATCAGAGATAGAAAAAGGGTTGCTGGAGAAGCTGCAAGGAGCACGGAATTGGGAGACTAAAAGATCATAAGAAGGCAGAGTAGATGTGTGTGTCCATTTTGTTAGGTTAAAGAATAGGTTGAGTTGAGATGCTAAGAGGTAACAGGGATGTTATGTCACCAAAGAAGATAGCGGGTATTTCAGAGGAGAGAAAGTATTGTACCTGGGCAGAGAAGTTCCATAGCCCTGCATTGGAAGTGAGGGCTCTGTAGGACAGTCCACCACTGGAGCATAGGGGAGCGCTGTCTGCTGGAGGAGTGGAGGATTGGGTGAGTATAATTGCTTTTTCTGCCCCCTAAATGTAAACAAACATTTAACCCTTGCAATGCTAGAACAGCCACACTGCATGGGAGGATTTGTATGTTTTCTGGAGTTGGATGTTAGGATGGATGTTTGAAGGTAGCAATTGCGTGTGAAGGTACAGAGAAGAGATGATGAAAAAATGATAAGAAGTAACATTTTAAAGTGCCCTGGTACTTGTAAATAAATTATACTTACGCAAAAATTGAACATGACTGTGCCTGTACCCTGTGACTTTGACAAATGTTCTGACCCTCCTCTACTAAATAACAGGGATTTTGTCCCTGCATCTGTCGTCATCACAAAGATAGCCCATCACTCCCTACTCTTGTTACACCCTGTCACCTGGCCAAGAAGTAAAGATAAATCTCCACAAAAGGGACACAAATAGTAGTAAGAACTTGAAAAAAGTTCTACCCCTTCCCCCCTTCCTCCCACAAAACATATTCATAAAAAAGTAAAAACTTATGTCAAAATGCTATTTCTGTTTTTGATCCCACTTTTATTCCTGTGTCACTACGCAAAAATATTAGGGGAAAATGTGTCACTGGGAGAGGAAGATAGAGACAGCAAAAAAACACTGCCAGAGTGCTGTAGTAGCTTCTATTGGGTACATGGTATCACCGCCATGGAACTGCAGAGCCCAGCAGGGGGTCACACTATCCAACAAATTCAGAAGCAACGGTACCCATAGCTCTTCAAACGAGCATAGATTTTACTCCTTGCTGATGGAAAGGTGTATCAAACAACTTCCTCTACAGGCTGTTACAAATATAATTTTTTACTGTAAAGCCGAGTACAGACGATGAGAATATTGGACAAATGATTGCCCCTTTTTTTTTTTTTTTTTTTGGATGCTAGTCTCATATCGAAAACGAATACGTTTTTTTTTTTAAGTTACCAAAATTCTTGATAGACAGAATACAAGTTCAGAAGTTATATAATGTATTGTATTATATTGTTCATTGTATTGCCTTGGTCACTCAATTTTTATTTATACAAATACTATACTAATTACATGAAAATTGTTTGTTCCAATATCTTATGAGAAAATATTTTGTGCTTTTCTCTTCTGATATTTTCACATGAACTGATCGTGATAGGCTTTCAAAAGCTGTGTTCTAATGATCAGATTAATGGACAATCGCTCCGTAAGCTTTTTATTTTTGTCCGATTTTCTCACCATGTGTACTAACCATTAGGATCTCTGCAGAAGAGTAAAGTTCATGTTCACTTTAATAATAATTTCCAATAATAACGTCTGAACTCTTCTGAAAACATGTCTGCACACCTTCACATTTTTTTATACAGCAATATACTATAGACTCAGCAGAGTTACTAATTGTGTAATTAATAAACAATAGAGGACAAATGGGTACAATTACACTTATAGCCATTTTATTGCATTCCAGAAGCAATGTAGATTATGAATAAGTAGAGCTTCAATTAATTTACTAAATTAGGATGGAAGTTATTATGGTGATCTGCAAAAGATTGTAGTCTTCAGACCTGTAACATTTAAAAGAGGCTTCCAGGAAAAAAAAATCCTGCATTTGCTTGTTTTGGTTTACTAAAGACACGAAATGCCTCTAAAACAGAGCCCCAGAAAGCAGTAAAACTCAACGCAGGCTTTAACCCTTCCCCATTCTATGCAAAAATAAGAACAAAAAAGGTTTTGTCCAGACATACCCTTTAAACAAGAGGACTGATTGGTTTCTATACATATTCATGTGCTTGTTCTTTCTTTAGCTTTTTCTTAGTCATGAATTACATTGGAATCAATATGGCCTCTCTGAATTCCTGTATAAATCCAGTGGCGCTCTACTTTGTTAGCAGGAAATTCAAAAACTGTTTCCAGGTAAGCTGTATTCTTGTTTTATTTACTGCAGTAGGCAATTTGGTGATGTCCCTTCCTTTTCCTCATCCCAGTTTAGAATATAAAGCAGCAGCACCACACTGGTGAAGCCTTCATCTTGCTATCTTTTACTATTTGCAAGTTCCCAGTGTTAAGCTGGCCATAGATGGCCATAGGGAATCTCAGTCGTTTCAGAATGTATGGGCAGGCTGAATGTACCCAAGTTGATCGATCGATTGCTCAACTTGGGTACAACCAGCGTGCTGGATTTTACATGCGATTATTGCAAGCAGCTAATTTAGCCGCTAGCAATAATCACTGTCTTCTCTTGGCTTCCCCCGCCCTTAACCAGAAGAATGCAGTGGCCTGGCGGCAGGGATTCCCCTGTCAACACTGTCTGTGTTGATGGGGCTATCAAGGTTGCAGGAAAGAAATTTGCTCCTTCTATGGCCTTCCTTAGACTGACAGTGGTTTGCAATCTATCCCGCATTGCATAAAAATCACATTGCCCCTCCTTTTCACAGTCTACATCCCACTGTGCAGGAGATTAGAAGCTGAAAGGATAATAGGTTCAGGTACTTAGATTAACTCTATGTAAATACAAATTTTTGTTAAGTAATACCTAACCGTATTAGGACATCTATGGGATAGAGGTAAGTAGGCCTCTGGAAAAGAGATGAGTGGGGAACTATAAGTCAGTGATGGGGCCAAGAAGGGAAAGTAAACTTGTCTGAAAACGTATTTATCCTTTAAGCAAAGGCGCACTCCCTGCTTTAAAGCAGCGCTGGGACAGGGCAGAAAAATCACCCGTATCAGGTGCGGCTCTAAGGCAATATTGCTAGGGTGGGAGGGTGGGAGCCTCTCCCGCCTCCGCACCACCTGGCTATCACCTTGACTGAGCAGGGCAAATGTTTTTATCCCTGTGTTAACCCTAATTAGTTTATAATAACTCCTTCAACCCCTTCTTCCCTTAGCTTTTTGTGCTTATATATAAATGGTTTACATTTGTGTTTGTATTTTTAGCACTTAATGTAAAAAATACTTTGTACCAGCAAAATAATTTTAATATCTTTACAAAAGGGAATAAATGCAAAAAAAAAAATAAAAATTGTACTTTTGATGATTTGAGTTATAAACTACTTAAGTTCCAAATAAAAGAACAAATATTGGTTACAAGTTATTGGAACCTGAGAAAACAAATCTTTTCCAGAGAGGCACATAAAGCAATTCCTCTGGTATGCTGTTTTGAAGGTCAGTGTCACCTTAGCAGCATCATGGTCCCATGGGCAAAGTAGGAAAAGTAGTGCCCTGGGGTTCCTACCAGAGAGATGTGTACAACAGCACACAGTGGGTGTGGCCACACATTGGGTCTGGCTTTGTAGTCTGATCAGAAATTTTAGTCTGATTTTATACAAATTGCAATTGTTTTTTTTTTTTACCATTTTTGATTTTTTTTTATTTAAATTTAATCATTGTTCACATTATTGTTATAATGCTGTTTGGGGGGGGGGGCTTTGGTGAGATGTCAAGGGTTTGAATAGACCTCTGAAGTTTCACTTTTGAAACAGAGAAAGGGACTGAATGCCCGTTATTTGTAACCTCAGCTGCACTGCAAATGAATGAACAGGAGACAGAAAAATCTGGATCAGTGCATAGGGTGGGGGGAATAACCGAAACTGATCTTTTTGTGGCTCTCACTCCAGCATCTGAGTCAGGAGATGCATACCTCCCAACTGTCCCTGATTTTGAGGGACTGTCCCTCAATTGCAACAAAGTCCCTCTGTCCCTCCTTCCTCTTCATTTGTCCCTCATTTTGGTCTGATCTATATAGTTGTATATAAAATGCACTATTTATCTTTCAAAAAGTGTTTCCCAGTGCTAAACCTTTCATCCAGTTTCTAAATTGTTGCATTTGTAAACTTCAAAGGCCAATATAAAGGAAAAGTAGTGGTTTAAAAACAACACTTGAAGGTTTAACTAATCCTTTTTTTTTTTATAATTCTCCTTGATGGGGGGGGGGGGGGTGTCCTATGCCTACATATATTTGCTAATAGGAGTCCCTCATTCTCATCTCAAAAAGTTGGGAGATATGAAGATGTCGGCCTTCAGCTGCTGCAGTGAGAGCCACAAAAGATCAGTTTTGGTGTATTCCCCAACCCACTGCATTAATCACCTGCTCTATCCACTCGCTATCCCCCCCATGCACCTGGGGCCCCTGGGCTCTACCTATGGGTGCCTGTGCGAAAAGATGGCCCTGTTGAAGGTCCCTGAACAAATATAGTAGTGCTATAGCATCTTTGGTCACATGTGCTAGGTTCATCAATAGGTAAAAGGAGGTGTTTGGGTGGCTGGAGATAGTTTGTGAGATTGTTTAAAGGATCTTCAAGAGAGTTTTCACATTTTTGTTGATCCCTCCTGCCTAACTTCAATAGAAATATATATTTCTTCTTTATCTTGCAGACCTGCCTATGCTGCTGGTGCCACAGGCCCAACCTCACTATCACTCCTATGGATGAAAAGGGTTCTGGCGGGAAATGGAAAGCTAATGGCCATGACTTAGTCCTAGATCGCAGTAGTTCTCGTCTGACAAACAAATACAGCTCTTCCTGAAATGAAGATAAAGAAAACAACACCCCCCCAATGGACCACAGACCACATTTCCCTACCTGATCATGGCTCATTGTATATATGATGTATATATGATGTCAGAGATGGCATAAATGCCTTGTGGGCTGTATATATAGTGTCCACTTTTATGCTGTACTGTAGGCATTCAATCTATTTTCAAGGTGGAAACCTGGAATACCACCTACCAAGAACTTTTTTACAGGTCACATGAGACAGAAAATCCACCCCCAAGCTTCCTGTGAGTTTTACTTTTACTAAAATGTTATTTTCAGGGCCAGGAACTAAGGTTATATTTATGTAATATTTATATTCTGTATTTTTAAAGGGGTTGTGACAGGTTGAATGCACATTTTTTTACCTGTACTTTTATCCATCAACAAGTGCCAGTATTAAGAAAGTGAGAGTCTAAGATCTCTGGTGGAAACAGAAAATCTTTTTTGCTGGCTTCCACAGCATTATACTGCATTTTTGTTTAGTGAACTTCAAGGGACACAGAATCAGAATGAACAGATTGCATGTAATCTAATTTTTTTCCTGCACAGAATGTGCTTTCTTCTTGAAGCCTTCAATGTATCTCTATCATGACTGTGGTGGTCAGGTGGTACATGCTGTGCTACACTACATCACTACAGGACATAAGCCTGGAGATTAAGGCTGCATGTACACGGAACACTTCTGAATGATGGGAACTGACTGCTGGAAAACATAGGTTAAAAAACATCATTTATGAGCGTTTGCGTTTAGAAGTGTTTTTTAAAGATAACCTCAGGAGACCTTCCAAAATGCCCAGAATGCACTGAAAAACAGTAAAAAAATTACTATTTTGAGAGAAACAGAGAGAGCAGAAGCAGAGATAGCAGTATTTGTTGAGATTAGCTGTCTTTTTGTTTTGTGGTGTTTGGATGTGTTCTATTTCATTTCAGCAGTGTACAAGCATTTGGCATTTGAAAACGCTGATAAAATCTACTCCTGAACGCAAGTTTTCTGCGTTCAAAAAATGACTGTAAACTCAACTGCCTGTAAATGACGATGTGTACATGGACACATAGGAAAACATTGGGGTGAGTTCAGGAGCTGCTGAAAAAACACTGAACAGCTCCTGAACGTCAGTTTATCAGCTGCAGTGTATATGAGCCCTTAGGGAAAAAGTGAAACACAAGCACACCTCTTGTCATAATATTAGGTCATAGTACTTTCTTTGAGTGATTTATATTTTGCCTGCACAACCCTTTTAAATCAATTTTAGACATTCCTAGTAAAAGAAGTTTGTGAGCTAACACTGCCATTCCTATTCTTCATGTAACATAATTCATTTTATACTGAAAGGAATTAGACTTTCTGAATGCCTGGTGTGACTGTGTCACCTAACTGACATTCTGCATTTAATACTACAGATATTAAAGTGTTAACTGTGTTTAAAGGGGAACTCAGATAAGTATCATTAGAAAGGACTGAGGGATACAAGTAATTATGTTAATTACAATTACCACCATGCCATCTGAGATGCAGCTGTTTACAAGCTCCCTGCCAGCCCAGTGGTACAACCAATCACTGTGCATGTCATTCCAATGGAACTGGTTGCCACAATGATGGCTATCTAATGTTACTGATATGCTTCCATCAAGGTTTTGGACAGCAGCAAATAACAAAGGATAGCATTGAGGTAAGTGCATTTTCCACCTTTTCCAGTGGTAATTCACGGGGTTCTCCGTTAATCAGAAAAAAAGATGTGTTTGCCTAATCTTATAGTAGCAAAGTAAAAAAAAAAAAAGTGAATAAAAGGAAAAAACACAGTGAATGCTCCTATTGTCTTATCAGAAATGTTCTTACATGCTCTGTCTTGATCTGTTCTATAGGAAGTCATATGTTAGATTTTGCTTTCTGCAGATAAAGTTTGCATTGTGCTTATATTTGATTTGTAAAGAATAGCTGTGTAATGTTACGGTTAGACAGTCTTACTATAACCCACATTGGAACATGCTGAAATGTACTACAGTCCAGCAGCAGCAAGTTGAATCCAAGACATAAGAACGATCGCTGTCAGTTATTATAGGAAACCTGAGATTACAGATTTATAGGTGAAGACCGTTGATGATCTCTCCTTCTTAAATTATTGCCAGGCACAGTAATACTTTGGCTCCGAGAAGGAATCTCACTACACATCTTTGCTCCTGTCCTCCAAAGGACAAAGTGCATGTACCATTTTGTCCTTTTCCTCTAGCCTGTCTAATTGCTGAGATAGCGTAGTCAATAGCATCCTTTCCCCTCCGGGTAGCCTGCATCCTTCCAACCGATGATGCTGTGCAACCCATTTGCATGGACAAAATGGTCATATAGAGTATGTTATATATTCTTGCAGACTCATCTGGACCACAGAATGGTAATTCTAGCAGAACCTGTCACTGCTTGAAAAACAGAGGGGGTAGAGCAGAGGAACTGGATGGGAGCCTTCTAGCTGACACACCCTCTAGTGGTGACAACTGTGCTCTGCTTGAGCAGAAACTCCCACAAATCCGGTTTTTATCAGGGGTGGGGCAGAGGAGCTGAAAAGCAAGGAATATAGAAGGAGTTTTATTCACATTTCAATACACTGGAGAAGCCAATACAAGTATTTAGACATGAATGTATGAAACTGTGTTTAAACATTTAATGCTCATGCAAATTCTTTTTTAATGCTTTCTGAGACCATGACAAGTATAGAGTTGCTCCCCGGCTCCCCTTATACAAACCGGATTCCAATCAAGTGATGTGCATGAGAGCAGCTCTCTTGGTTCTCTCTCTCCTCACTGGACAGAAAGGCAGCAGTGAGGGCCATTGGCTCCTGCTGCTGTCAATCGCAGCCAGTAAGGAGGGAATGGGAGCAGGGTCAAGCTGCGCTCTGTGTGTCAATGGACACACAGAACTGGCTCAGGAGCGAGCACACACGAATGCCCTCAGGAGCAAGCTTCTTGCTATGGGGGCACACAGCAGAGGGGAGGAGCCAGAAGCATTGGTGGGGGCCTGAGAAGCAGAGGATCAGGGCTGCTCTGTGCAAAACCATTGTACAGAAAGTATCACTTGTTTGTTACTTTTTTTTATGTACTTTTAGAATCACTTTAAGAAATTTGGATATTTAGGTCCTTGTGATAAAGCCAAAAACAACCAGGTAACCAGCATTTCAAAGTGGAACCTGAGCTAAAAGGCAAGATCTGATTATTACATCAGGGCCCACCCAGACCAAACCACCACATTAAAGCATAAAAAAAAACTAAAAAAAAGTAAGAGAAGGGTGACATCCCAATCCATCCAACAGGATCATGGGAACACTGAATATCCCAAATTTCATGAGAAGACACTCTGGCACACAGCAGGAGAGAGCCTGTAACAAAATCTGGGATCCTCAGGATCTCACTGGTAGGATTGTGATGACACCCTTTTTCCTGTGGGAAAGCCAGGTATAAGGTAAGTATATTTAATACATATTACCCATTTTGTAATACACAGTGAATATGGTTAGGCAGTGGCCTGATGTAAGAAATGGACTTTAGATAACATATTTCATGAACGATGAATGATTTTGGATTGTATCAGTTACATGGATGAGACAAACCATTTACCACTGACGGGTACTTTCAAATATGTGCTTTTATTTTTTTAGCAACATATTAAGCATAAGTATATAATCATAATTTAAACTGCATGCCTGCACGCTAGCATAGATATTTATTAATTTAAAAATTAACCAGTCAATGAAAGAAAGATGAGGGACACCATTGATGACAACTTCTGGAAAGGATAGCTGCCCAGCTTTGGCTTTGTTTCTTTGAGTCACTGTTCTGGTTTAGTTAAAAAAGGTACTTATTTACATACTTGTTCTGGGTCAGTTATTCAAATTATTGAAGCATGTGGGTCACCATGACAGTCACGCAATTAGCATTTTCAGCAGGGGTCCACAGTAGCAGTCTCCATGTTTCTTTCATGGCAAGCCTTTGAAAGCTAAGGCTACCTTTCTAATAATTTTGCTTGTTACACAAATATTTAGGGTGCAACATAAAACAAGGTGAGAGTCTGCAACCCCCAACCACAAACCACCCATCTCTCCTCCTACTGAATCCTAGGGGTTCTTCTCCCTACAGGCTCTTGTCATTTTTTAAACTTGGTGTGGCTGTGCATGGCATGCCTCAGCAGTAGATGGGCTTGTACTTTTAAATGGAGCACAAATGCAGTGATGCCACTGCACTCATAGCCCATTGATATTTCCTGCAGCCCCTTCAGACCTGTGGCTGGAGGAATAGTCTGCTGGAGTCTGTGCATTGCACCCACAATCCACTGATTGTGGTTGTGATGCTTTGCAGGAAAATACAATGAAAGTTAATAAATGTATATTCTTTTAAGCAATGAGGGCACATTTATTATTATTTTTTTTTGCAAAAGCTGGAATATGCCTTTAAAGGAGAGAAATACAGGGGCTAACTTCTAACAAATCAAATCTGTGCAGGGGCCACACATCCGTTTGATAGAAGCAAACTTGACCAATTACAGCAGAGTTTAGAAAACAGACCGTTCCAGCAGGGCTGGACCTTTTTTTTAATATAAACCTCAAATCCAAGTTTGCGTTCAGTGACCAAAGCAATATACAGTTTTCACAAAAATATATTCTTTTTTTTTTTGTCCAGTTTCTCATGTCTTGGATGGATTGCCCATTTGTTACATTTTGTGCATAATTCTCCTATATCAGTTTCGTGTGTGTCACTTTGTTTTTTAATAAATCTCACATTTTCTACCAACAGTTTTTCACATTGTCTGTAAACCATGTGACTATACTTCTTTCACCCCTCCTTCTTTCATATAATATAGCACAGCCTGTCGTGTAATCATCAGAGTATAGACACTTGACTTTTATTAAAGCAGTATTAAAAGCAAATATTTATTATATTGCAGCTTACCAATTCTTAGATGCAATGGCTTTATTCATTTTATTTTTAGTTTTTTCAAATTTTATT